AACAGGTGTGAGGTGATATCTCTTTGTGGTGAAATTTTTTTCTTTATCTTTGGGTTTCAGCAGTTTGACTATGATGTACCTAGGTATGCTTTTCTTTGTACTTATCCTGCTTGGGGGAATCAGTGAGCTGCTTCAATCTGTAAATTTATCTTTCACCAACTTTTGGAATTTTCTCTCTTATTTCTTCAAATTTTTTTCTGCTCCTTTTTCTCTCCTTCTATGACTCCAGATACATGTATGTTAGACTCTTAATAGTGTCCAACAGACAACTAGTTTTCAATATTTTTTCTCTTTATTCTTTAGTTTGAATAATTTCTTTTGCTATATCTTCAGTACTTTCTCCATGCTGCTGTTAAGCCCATTTGGTGGATTTTTTATTTTAGAGAGTGAATTTTTCAGTTTTGGGATTTCCATTTGGCTCTTTTTTGTTTTTCTGTTTCTCTGCTGAGATTTGCAGTTTGTTCATTTATTACAAGTGTATTTTCCTTTGTCCTCTTGAGCATATGTACAGTAGCTGCTTTAAGGTCTTTTTCTACTAATTTCAATATCAGGGCTACCTTGTGGTTGGTCTCTATTGACTGTCTTTTCTCTTGAGTATGGGTCACATTTTCTTATTCTTTCATATGTTTAGAAATTTTGTATTATATCCTGCATGCTGTGAATGACACATTTTAGTGAATCTGGGATTTGGCATATTCTTTTGGAGACTGTTGATTTTTTGCTTATTATTTGTATTAGCAAGCAGTTAACTTGGCTGGACTAAAATCTAAGCTCTGTCTCCCCAAAGGGGACGGCAGCCGACGTCTCTGTTCGGTTGTTTTAGCCTTATCTGGAGTGCTGAGAGTCTGTTCCACTCTTGCATAGATCAGTAACCAGCCAGAGACATGGGTAGAGTTAATATGCAGAATTTGAAACTCTCTCTTTGTGGTTCTTTATTTTCCAGCATATGCCGTCTCACTTTTCAGTTGCTGTGGTAGCTCCAAACTCTGGGTTTTTTTTTTTTTCAAACCCTGGTTTTTCAAGCCAGTAATACTGCATGTTTTGATCCAAGTTTCAACTGCTCTGTGCAGCTCAGACTAGGGGCCTTCCCTGAGGCAAAAGCTGTAAAAACAGGAAACCCACCCAGTTCTATTCCCTTCTTCCAAATGTTGTCTCCTGTCCAGATTCTGCCTACTTTCAGTTGCTCAAGAGCCTTTAGGCGGTGGTTTTTTATATTTTTTTCCAGAATTTATAGTTATCTCTGGGAATGTTGGTCTGCTAAGAGGTATTCTGTTATTACTTGTAGCAGAATCTATAGTTTTTTACTGTTCATTTTAAAAAGGTAAAAATATCTCATGAATTTATATTATTATTTCCAATTCAAATCAGAACAGTTAGGTTTTTATTTACATCTGTATCTTCTTCTATACCAAGAATTGTGGTTCTTAAGGGCATAAAGCAAATGATAGAATTAGAATGTCACACAATTATTTATTCTTTCTGTATATCACACACAGAGCAGTTTAAAATAACAATACTTGTACACTGGTACTATCACAATGACCAAAATGATTACTGGAAACAGTCAAAAATTTTTTTTCCTTGTGTTTTCCATAAATTTCTATTCCCTAGTTTTTAAAACATTGTATTTTTAACAACTTTGTGCATTTAGCCATAAAATTTTATGCTTTCTTCTTTGTACTTCTCATTTAGTCTTTATCAACAAGTAAATAATATTATTGCTTGCCGTCAGTTCTTAGGTTGAAACTCTTATTCATTTTGGTTGTTTAAAGCCTGTAGATTCTTTGGAAGGTCTCAAGGGAGCAATATTTCCTGATTTCTAGCACTTTAATAACAGTTTATCTGTGCCTTATTTGTTAAAAATCAGTTTTGCTGAATATAAAACACTTTATTCACATTTTCTTTCCATGAATATCTTAAATATGTTAGTCGATTTTCTTCTGGGATAAAGTGTTACCTTCGAAAAATTTGATGTTGGCCTTCTGGGTTGGTATTCTCAGGTGTACTTTGTGCTCTTTCAGTCAGTTTCAATTTAAAATAAAAAATTTTCAAGAACGTTTTCTTGAATTACAGTTTTTACTATTTGATAGTGCTCTTTAAAGATGTCTATTATCTGAATGGTGGATCTTTGTTACTTCATTAGTTGCTTTCTCTCAAATCCTTTTTCTGTCTTCATTTCTTTTGATTTCAATATGTTCTTCCTTTTTATCTTCCAGTTCTCTGAGAGCATTATCTGTTGTATGTGTTTTCTCTTGGGTTCATTCAGGCTTAATCTTCATTTCTGAAACTATTTTTTTTTTCAATTTCTTATGCTTGCCTGAGTTCTGTTTCATTATTTATGAGTTTTCTGAAATCTGATTTATGTTATTCTTTTGTGTCTTGGTATTTTTGTAACGTCTTTTAGCTCATTTTGAAATTTGTTGTTAGTGCCGTCAAGTTAATTCTGACTCAGAGGGACCCTCTGTGCCGCAGAGCAGAACCCTTCCCAGTCTTTTTGCACCATCCTCACCTTTTGGTGCTATATCAGACAATGGTTTGTGCTTTTCGTAGGATTTTTATGGCCAATTTTTTCAGGAGTGAGTGACCAGATCCTTCTTCCTAGTCTGTCTTAGTCTGGAAACTCCACTGAAACCTGTCCACCATGGATCACCCTGTTGGTGTTTGAAATACAGGTGGCATAGCTTTCAGCATCACAGTAACTCAGTTGCCAGTGTGACAACTGACAGACGGCGCGTTTTGAAATAGTAGGTTACAATTATCATCTATTCTGTGGATATGTGTTCCTGGTATGTTTTTATTAACAGGATATTATTCTGTATCTTCTTTTTATTTTCTTCTTATAATAACTTCATGGGATTAACCTATGTCATCTTCTGTTGCTTACTTTTTTGGGTTTAGGATGGCTTTTCTTACAGAGCTCACTCTGCTGTTGTTTTTGGGCAGTCTTCAAAAGTGTGGCATTTGCTTTCTGAAATTTCTAGGCTTTACTCCCTTCCCAACTTCTACCTGGATATTCTCTTTTCTTTATATTCATTGTACCTATTGTAATCAATTTTTATTTCATTCCCAGTAGTTTATCCTCATTTGTGACTCCCTTAGTGAAGGATCGGTTTCAAGAGTTCACAGCGGCTAGATTGCTCCAACTTCTTCCGACTTCACCTTGGATCCCTTGCACTTAGTTACTATTGGAAGAAGCAGAAACCCTTCCAATTACAGCTTCTACTTAAATTGACCTTCTGGTCAGTTTGCTGTTGCTGTTTTGGAAGTCTCTGTTCTCAGATCTGTCAGACATTCTGTTTCCTTCTGCTTCCTCTCCTACCACGCAGGTCCTAGGGTTGTTGGTGATTTGTCTCCACCTGCTGTTTTGGGGGAATTTGTGGAGATCCTTGTCACCCAGTTTTATGTGAGATTTTAGGGTTGCTCAGAAATGTTGCCACTGCCTGAATTCTTCCTAAATCTTTCTAATTTACACTCTTTTTTTTTTTTTTCAAGATTTTATTTTTCCTTTTACTCCCCAAAGCCCCCTAGTACATAGTTGTATATTTTTAGTTGTGAGTCCTTCTAGTTATGGCATGGGGGATGCCACCTCAGCATGACTTGATGAGCCGTGCCGTGTCCGCGCCCAGGATCTGAACCAGTGAAACCCTGGGCTGCTGAAGTGGAGTGCTCAAACTTAACCACTTGGCCGGGGGGCCGGCCCCTAATTTATCACTTCTTAACTGTTGTTTATGGTGTTCTTTGTTTTCAGTTTAATAATTTCACCCTAATTAGATTATAACTTCCTCCAGATAGTGCTTGAATCTTAATCAGTTGGAGTGCTATTTTGTGTTGAAAACAGCCATTACAGAGTCCAGAATAGTACTGGACATGTATGCAATGACTCAGAGTAATCAGTTTGGAAATTACTCTAAGGGTAATTATAGGCCAATTTGCAACCTTTTAATGGTAGGATTAGGAGCTACTCTTAGAAATTGAAGGGAAACAGGGATATCAGCTGGCCTGCCTATACATGAAGTTCGTTCATGCATCATCTTTGGCTTATATGCCATAGTCTGTCATCCTTTGGTCTAAACATTCCTGGAAGACATTGATATAATGTACTAATGGTCCAAAAAGTCCACAAAATAATAAGCATCATAGAAACATATTGGAAACATATCAAATGTCATCCTACAGAATGATAGCTCATTTCTGTCACAGTTCAAAAATATTGTAGCAGAAATGTAGAAACTCTTGAGTGAAGCAATTAAAGCGGTCAGGATAGTAAATGATTTTCTTAAAAGACTAAGCCAAAACAAACAGAAAACCAGGAGTTGTCCAGTTTGTTAATATGAAGAGAGGCAAAGGGTATGGATGAGATATGATGGAATTTGATAAGATTGTGAAGGAAATTAAGGAGCACAAATAATACTTTTGGCTAAAGGAAGCACTAGTTTTTATACATTGGGTAGTAATTTTAAAGATTTTTTTATTCTAACAAAAGCCCAATTCCTTTGCTCCTGAATTTGGTGTTCTAAAAAATCAGCTAATATGGGGCTGGCCCCGTGGCCGAGTGGTTAAGTTCGCGTGCTCCGCTGCAGGCGGCCCAGTGTTTCGTTGGTTCGAATCCTGGGCGCGGACATGGCACTGCTCGTCAGACCACGCTGAGGCAGCGTCCCACATGCCACAACTGGAAGAACCCACAACGAAGAATACACAACTATGTACCGGGGGGCTTTGGGGAGAAAAAGGAAAAAAATAAAATCTTAAAAAAAAAAAAAAAAAAAAAATCAGCTAATACAAGTCAGTTCCTGAAACACAGCAGAACTTTCTTGACTTGATAAAACTTTCCAAGATATTTATAGTTTTAAGAAGTTGATGTTTCTTACTTTTACTTCATTTGGCTTTCTTGCTTAAAGGAATCATATTTTATTTTCATTTATGAAGACAGATTATTTACTTTGTAATATGTTTCACTTAAAATTACTCCTAATTTTTATCTTTTTACTAATCTTTAACAGGCCTCAACAAATAATGAAAGCTCTAATCACAGTTTTGGAAGCTTGGGATCTTTAAGTGACAAAGAATCAGAGGTAAGTAACTTCATTTAAAATATGGTGCTATTAAAGTTAAAAGCTGGAATCACCTTTTTTTTTTTTTTTTTTAAGTAGGTTTTTTCCCCATCAATCCTTGTGCTAAAGGTTAATGCTTTTTGCGTTTCTTGTAGGAGCATTTTATTCTGCCTTCTGAAGCATGGCATTCAGACTGAAGACTGTATTTGGCATTAGAAAGAAAATATAGTTTCTTTGGTTCTGTAGCTGAACTTGTATGTTAGTGGTATAGATGTTCTTAATGGAAGACAGTTACAGCCGTTCGTAATTCTAAGAGATGAAAGTGGTTTTCAAAATCCGTTGTTTCACAGTTTTCTATTATTTCTTGTTCTATGCTTCCCTCTTAGTCTGATCCTGAGTAAGGGTTTGTTTACTTTCTGAGATAAACACTTTTTTCTCCTTTTGAAATTTTTTGTGGAATTTCATGCTGCTGTTTTTTACTTTTCATATTTAAAAATATCTGAAAAATACCCTCCCCTCCCACCCACTTACTTGACTCCACTAGGAAAGTACGTGGGATTGTATAAGTAGACATTTGGATCCACAGTTCACATTGAGCATGATATAACTGATGACATCTTTTTAAAATGTGTACACAGGAACTTCTTTGGGGCTTAGCAATTCACTTGATGCTACAACTTCACCTTTTGTGGATACAGCCTGTAATATTTCCTTTTCTCAGATAACAGAGTTCTGTCACCTGCTTTTCAACATTTGTAGTGTGTGTGTGTGTGTGTGTTTTCCCTGTCATTGTTAACTTACTTCTACTTGATCCATTTTAACTTTTTTTCTGCTTGGGTTAGTGTAGATATATCACCTTGATAATACCAATAGGTCATTAGCACTCAGTAACTCTTAGCCATTTGATTTTGGTGTTCAGTGGAAAGGGAATGTCAAAGGTGGCATCTTGTTAAGCCCTGTGTTATTCCTAGAAAGCATCTAGGAATCTCTAGACAGACAGTTTTGTGTAGTTCTATGTAGGCACCCTGACACTCCAAAGGAGTGTGGCATAGGGCTCCTCACTCATCAGGCTTTCCCTTCCGCAGAGACAACTGGCAGGCAGCTGAAAGGACTGTGCAAGTGACGGGACTTTATCTGCAGTAGGTTCCCTTGAGGTAAGCAGTAGGCCCTGTAGCACCAGATTATTGCAGTTTAGTTTTTGCAAATTAACACACTTATACTAAGTTCTTAAAAATTGTAGGTTTAGATCTAGTCAAAGTAGAGTTTTCAAAAACTATATCAAGAATGTTTTAAATAATTTTAGATATTTCCCTTTTCTGTTCACCAAATCTGGTGTTTTTGATAGTTTTTTTCTTTTTTTTAAGATTGGCCCTGAGCTAACATCTGTTGCCAATCTTCCTCTTTTTTTTTTTTTCCGCCCCAAAGCCCCGTACATAGTGGCGTATCCTAGTTGTAGATCATTCTAGTTCTTCTATGTGGGATACTGCCACAGCATGGCTTGATGAGTGCTGTGTAGGTCCACACCCAGCATCCGAACTGGTGAATGCTGGGCCACCAAAGTGGAATGTGTGAACTTAACCACTCGGCCATGGGGCTGGCCTCGTTGATAAGTTTTTTTAATAGCAAAACATAGTAAATGTTAGATCACCTATAACAGTTTTGTATTTCTATGTTCTTTATAGGTAGCCATATCCCCAGTATAAGTTATAGATTCAGTATTTGAATTCTTTTCAAAGACTTGGTCTATAAAAAAATACCACTTCCCTTTAAAGAATTCCAAGGATCACTTTTGGCTATGTTTTTAGTTTAAAATGTTGGGCTTTTTTCTTTAAAGACCATAGTGACATTTGTAGTGAAATACGATTTGGTTAACTATTAGATACACTTAGCTTTATTTGTATAGAAATTTTGACATTTGGGGCAGCATTAGAAAAAGAGTACTTTGGCCTTTGCTGTTCTGTGTTCTATATGTGGAATTTTTGCAAAGTAATGGTTACGTCAGGTCTCTTGATATTTTGGAAATGACTACAGGTTATCCATTTTCCTTTAGATTTGAAGAAACAATTCTTTTTTGTTGTTGCTTTCTCTTTCCATGTAAGAAGCTACTTATCAGAAAAATGATTCCCAGGTTTTGTTTCTATACTAGATACCTTAATTAATGAATTCCTTTGTGGCGAATTTCATACACTTCAAAATACAGATATTCATAGGTCATTAAGTAAAGTTGTTGAGAGTAAACAATTGCAGGATAGTAGTACTTTTTTTCCAGTACACCTAGTAGCAAAGTTTATGTAGTGTTCCATTGTCTTCTGATGTCTTTTTATTCTTTTGGTAATCCATCCCCTGATCTATTATGTTTTTTAAATATTAGTTATTCTAATTGTGAACAAATAGTACTAAGAGGTTTATTAAAAAAAGAAATAGCATTTCTCTACCAGCCACTCATACCTCATCCCACTCTATTCTTTTAGCTTTTCTTCCTGGTATTTATTTCCGCATTTTAATATAAATAACATGCATATCTTGCTATTTTGGTTCATCAGTTGGTCATTGTCTGTTGACTCTCTTTGGGTATGTATGAAGATTTTAGCTTACCAGTGTCCCCTTTCCCTAGTTTCTATCCTCCTACCCAGTACTCTTTTCAGACACTCAGAAATCTCCTGTTTTCTTCTATCCTTTTACTGTTAAAACTGAAAAGCAGCTGATATTCACTGTTAGGTTGGTTGAATCTACTTCACCTGAACTTTTTGTTTTCAGTTTATATATGAATTATTTCATATATGAATTTCTCTTTCATTTCTGAATGTACAATTGTAGAACAAAAAGGTTTTTCCTTTTGTTAATGAAATCGCCTAGTACGTAGGAAGGTATTGGTCTTGTTTTGCTGTATTTTACATCACTCTAGATCTATCCAACTTGCTCCAAAAATTCACTGTATTTTCAGTAAGCATTTATTACATATTATTTATATTCTGGCTTCTGTGCCCAGGCACAGAGAATATAAAGATGAATAGGATACAGTCTCTGTGTTCACATGAGGTCAGTGTCTAGTAAGACAGACAGACTGCTTCATAAACAGTGTGGGCTATGCTATTCATAGATGTAAGCACAAGGTACTCTGAGAGCAAAAAGTAAGAAACCCCTAATAGCATCTGCCTGCAGGGGAGAAGAGGAGAGGGAATTGAAGAGAGATCTTCCTTCAAAGAAGAGATGATAGTTGAGTTATTAGGAAATTCTATGAATTCATCCTAGTGGACAAGGACAGAAAGTACAGTCGTCTGTCACTTGACAGGGATATGTTCTGAGAATGTGTCATTAGGCAATTTTATTGTTGTGTGCACATCATAGAGTAACTGAAGGTGAACAAAATTTGCTACCCCAAAATGTGTCTCTTTAACATGAGGATTAGTTTAGGTTGATTATTTTTAAGAAACAAAAGACTCAGGAAGTTTTTCTTGTTACCTCCCCCTTAACTGCCTGAAAGGATTCTGGAAAAAAAAAAAAAAACCTGTCTCAGGAAGTGAACTGTCACCATCACATAACATGAACTAGGTGGTAGACAAGGAGGAACCTAGAAAAGCCTGTTGGGCTCCCCTCTGTGTTCTTCGGTTTCTGTGTGGCCAAACACTTGTTTTCCAAACACTTGCTCCTTTTCACCTACCTGTGAATTGCCTCTTTTCCTTTGGTGTCCCTGACTATCCCTACCCCCCACATCTTCTTTTGTCTTTAGCTGAGGATGGTATTTAAAGTGAGGGCTTCGGCCATTTTGGCAAGTTACTTGGTTTTCCTGGGTTTCTCCCATGGGTACACGTTATTAAACTTTTGTTTGTTTTTCTTCTGTTAATTTGTCTCACATCAGTTTAATTCTTAGACCTGCCAGAAGAACCTAGAAGGGTAGAGGAAAATTTCTTCCTCCCCTGCAGTACTTACACAAATCTAGATGGTATAGCCTGCTACACACCTAGGCTGTGTGGGATTAATGTTATGGCACCTCTATCATATGTGTGGTCCATGGATGACTGCAATGTCATTATGCTGTGCATGACTGTATGAGAAGAAGGCAGGCAGAGGGACTAGGATATGCTTTTGCTTTTGCAGGGAAGCATGACAAGTAGTTTTGCTGAAGACATAGGGCAGTGATTCTTAACCCCCACTACACTTGAGATCACCTGAGGGGCTTCAAAAAGATACCGAGCTGCCTAGGTGATTCACTTGGTTTGCAAACTTCTAATATAGGGAGGATATACAAGAATGGTGAAAGATAGGCAGGGGTCAGGGTTTGAAAGTTCTTGTATTTCATAGTAAGGGATTTGGACTTTTATCTAGGTAATGGAGAGCTGTTGAAGCAGGGGAAACAAAACACAAAGTTGCGATGAAGAAGCCTCTCTAGGTGGCAATATAGAGGATAGGATTGGAGGGAGGTGACACCTAGGTTGGGAAGATCATTTAGTTAAGGAATACTGCTGCCTTTACAAAACTCCAAACCTCCAAAGTTTAATATTAGGAGGAAAAACTTGAAGTGTGTGAGATTCAAATTATAGTTTCCTTTTAGGTTCTGCCTTCTCCTTCAGATTCTCTAATTTTGGTTATTGATACTATCACCACCCAGGCCCTGCTTCCCAAACTTTAATGTGCGAGTGAGTTATCAAGTGTTCTTCTATCTATAGGTCTGGCATGGGAGGTTTTGCATTTCTAGTAAGGTCTCAGATTCCACTAGATTTTAAAAGTAGAATCAGTAGGGTTTGATGATTGGATGAGGGTAAAGAAGGAAAGAGAGGAGCCTAGGATTATTTAAAGGTATCTAGGTTTGGGTGAATGATAGGGCCTTTGACTGAGATAGACGACAATGAAGGAAGATGAATAGATTTGGCATAGAAGGTAATGAGTAAAATTCTGGACAACACTGAGTTTGAATACCTGTGATATGACCAAGTGAAGATGGACTCCATTTAGGCAGTAGGAACTATCTGGAGCTCAGGGAAGAGGTCAGGCTAGAGTTGAAGACTTAGGAGTTTTGGGCA